TAAGGTAAATATTATTTTATTATACTTATTTTTAATCTTTTTAATGTTAACATAAGAAATATTGAACTTTTTTTTTCAGTTTCAGATATCATTGCCATTTTAATAACTGCAACCTTTTTGATGTTACCGTTTTGTTTCTGAAATAAAATGTAAAATAATGCAATTGATGTGATTTTCTAAAATTGATTTGATTGAAGTATCAAAATGAAATAAATAAGTTTTTTGTGGTACAAAAAAGTTGTTCAAAAATTCCGGGTACTGTTATTTTCACGCTATTAGCTGTACATAAATGTTTCTCAATTACATATTATGATTGCAATTTATCTCTTAATTGCATAATATGATTGCAACTTCTCTCTCAATTACATATAATGATCGAAACCTATCTTTCAAATACATATTATGATTGTAATTTATTAATCAATATAAGTAATTACAACTTCTATTTCTTGACTTTATTTATGTTTATCTTTCGTTTAACAACAAAGGTGGAGGAGAATATGAAGAAAGTTTTGAGTGAAATATATTTAAAATAAAAGTAAAGTACTTTAAAATAATGCAAATTTTTTAAACCACGGATTTCAGGTCTGGAACAGTTTTGCGAAGTGTATGTTTTCTTGTATTTCATTGTTCGGTGTAGTTAAGGTGATTTACAAATTATTCGAATACTTTTATTTGGAATTAGTATGATTTTATCAGCGTACAAAATTTTTAGAAGGTATAAATTTTTTTGCTTTAGGTTTTTTTAATATTTAAAGAAACTTTTTTTTTTTATATAATTTTTTAAACCTTTTTACTATCCCTAAATCTAGAATCTAAAGAACACTATTTTGGAGTTTTTAGATCAATTTCGCTCATTGGCGTTAACATGAATTTAGTTAAAATCTTTTGAAAAAGTTCCTTAATTTATTATTGATCCTAGTTCTAATCAGTTCTGATGTATATTAACTATATAAAGTTGTCAAAACACAATTAGTCTATCAATTTTCACAAAAAATACTAGAATTCCGACCAAGAAAGAGCTTATAATTAAAAATCAATTGCCAATAAACGATCAGAACAGATCATATTGTTAAACTATAATGTTCATTTCACCTAAAAAACGTATTAATTTAAAATCTTATTCAATATTGGACGAGCGATTGCGATTTAAAATCTTATTCAATATTGAGCGATTTAAAATCTTATTCAATATTGGACGAGCGATTGCGTTTTTAAAATGATTTTAAAAAAAATCTTCGGTCTAGGTTTTTCGCTACAAACATTTACATTTAATAATACCGCAAAATTTATTATTATAATATTTTTCGTCTTTTCATAATTCACAGACCTGACTATTTAACGGATATATGTCGAAGTCAACAATATATTATGCAGACTAGAGTGTGTCGACTTTTAATTTTTTTCAAGAAAAAAATTGGGGAGTTACTAAAGGTTGCTGAGTTTGATGGAGAATCCAAATATGGTTTTAAAATTTGAATAAAAAATCTTTTGCTAAGGTGATTTGACTTTTTATATTTCGATAAAATTTTGACCTGGTTTCTCAAAAAAACCCGGTTTTTACTTAAACATTATTAAGCCTTTTTTTTACTTTATTTGATAAATATCAGGTGAGATATAAATGTTGATTAAAACTAATTTTAGATAATGAATATATTTTCTTAAAAACCTGTATAAAATTTAAAAGAAATAAGTTTATTTCAAAATTTGACTTTGAATTTAAATTTTTATGCATATTAATTTAAAACTGAAATTAGGTTGAGATTGATTTATAAATTATAAAATATTTTTTAATGTTTGGCTTAACATCGCGTAATAGTTTTATTGGTATTGATGTTAGAAATACAGCAAGATATTAAAAAAAAACCCGAATTGTTTCAATAAATACTATAAATTTAATACAAAAACATTGTGTCGAACTTTCAAGGCCTTGTTTACTATTATTTTTAGGCATTAACTTTCTCTTCGCCTCTTGAATTTGGACAAATCCACCTTTCTTTTCATGAGTATACACTCTACTTGAAGCTTTAATAACTTGCTTTACACAACGTTCAACAGATTGTCCATGACAAGGCCAAATCGGCACGTGCATAGGATTTGATAAAAACACATTAATTTCAGAAGTTGTTAGAGAGGTAGTTAAGATTGGTTCATAAACTGGTGACTCCCATGATATCAGGTCTACCAATTTTTTAGCATTAAAATTCGGAACAGGAATTTTTCTTGGTCTAGGAGAAGAATCACTTTTTTTTAGATCTTCATTTCCAGTACCTCTAATATCTTTTATCTTAGAGCTACATTTCTATCCTCGTCAATATTAGAACACAATAATGTTTGTAGTATACACTCACTGAAACAAAACGTGATACTATTTTTAATAGTATCACGACATCTTCTTTTTGAAATTCGAGTTGCTGCAGCTGGTAAAGTACATGTTTGGGGCCTTCAATCCAAGAATGATCAATTTTAATCTTAAACCAACAAGGAAAATAAACACCCACAATGTACTCGGTGATAGACCTTAAATTTTCTAAATCTTCACCTTGAATTCCTTGAAAAGTTAGCAGAAGTTAACCATCTTGGATGTGAAACCGGCCCATTTTGTAACAAATAAAATTTTGGTGGTAAAATACCTTTCTAATAAGACAAACAACTTCATAACCATAAAATTGATCTACAGACAGGTCATTTATTATTTTATCATCAAGAGAAATAAGTGGATTAGCAATTTTTATAGTTTCAAATACTGAATTTATTTCTAGATCTGTAGCCAGATCAAGCATGGACCCAATAACACCAGACCATTTTTTGTTCAATTTTGTTTGACCATCTAGATTGGTTACAAGATGCCTCAGTGGCAACTTATTTGTATGGAGTTGACATATAAGCCAAACAAGTTTTTTTCCTAATTTTATTTCTATTTGTTTGATGACCCCACCCTCCCAAACGGTGTTTACATTTGTAGAGTTTCCACCAACAGCCAATTAAGACTTGTCAATATCTCTCTCATTCAACCATTCAACCATTTTATTTGCTATAATCTCTGCATATTTAATACTATTTGTTGCTTTCTCAGGAGTAAAGTGGAATAAATTTTTTCCTCCAGGTTCCATACAAACAGAGTAATGTTCTTCTTTCACAGTTACTGGAAATTTTGCTTTTGAGTCATCAAGATCAATCATTTGCTTGGTTCGATTAATTCTCCCATCAAAAATTATGCATTTCACTTCTCGATTTTTTGCTATTTTGTCAAAATCCTTCTTAAGATCAGAGACTTTTCCTTGCCCTCTCGAAACTTTACTATGGTCAATAACTAACTTTTTATCATCAGATGTTTTAATCCTGCATCAATAAGTGTTGCTGTAGCAATTGCATGCTGTAGCACGTGCAGACACCTCACATCTACAGTTTTAGACAAAACATTTGTCCAATACTGTAGATGTGGGGTGTTCCTAATTTTACATGTCTTAAAAACGAAACGAACTATACTACCACAGCAAACAGTTCAGGAGTCTGGAGTCACAGCATGCAATGACATAAGAAATCAGTTGACAGCTTACAGCACACAGGCAGAATTTTGTTGACAAGTGCCATTTTGCAGCGGACAAAACAAGTGCGACTTTTTTGGTTTGTTTTATTTTCTTAAGTCTGGTCCGTGTCAACGTCACGGAAGTTTTTTAATAATTAAAGGAAGTATCCAGAAGTTTCCAGAAGTTTTTCAGAGGCATGCAGAAGCTTCCAGAAGTTTCCAGAAGAAGCATCTGGAAACCATCAAGAAAAAAGCATCATCAGTCGAGATACAAAAGCAATTAGAGCTGCCTGTATCGGAACGAACAATCAGACGACGTGCTGTTGAAGCCGGATTGTTTTCTCGACGCCCTGCAAAGAAACCGCTGATTTCACTAAAAATTAGACGAAAAGACTCCTGTTTGCTACATCTCATATTGACTGGAATGTGCAGAAATGGCAAACTGTTCTGTTCCGTGATGAATCGAAGTTCAACATCATTGAAAGCGATGGCATTTGCGCGTACGTCGACCGGCTCGAAAACACCTTGATTTACGTTACTGCCATAAGACCGTGAAGCATGGTGAAGGCAATGCAATGGTCTGGGGGTGTCTTTCTGCTAACGGTCTAGGTCCAATACATCGAATTGAAGGAATAATGGACCGTTTCATGTATAAAAATATTCTGAAAGATGTTATGTTACCTCATGCTGAATGGAATATGCCAATAAAATGGGTTTTTCACCAAGACAACAATCCGAAACACACTGCAAAAGTAGTCAAGAAGTGTTTCAAGACAACCACCTATCGGTGATGGATTGGCCGCCTCAATCTCCGGATCTCAACCCTTTTGAGAACCTATGGGAGATCGTCAACCGCAGAATTATTTGTGAAGGTGTTCGTAATAAGGATCAACTGTTTGAACAAATGCAAAAGGCCTGGGCAGCAATTCCACAAAGTTTCATTGATCACCTGATCGAATCTATACCTCGAAGATGCAAGGCTGTGATCGACAACAAAGGATTCGCCACGAAATATTGATAGAGAAATACAGCTTGGTCAACATTTTGTGGAGTTGCACTTGTTTTGTCCAGAAGGAAATTTTTCGTGTACAAATAATGAATTTTGTGATGAATAAAACTTGAAGAAAGTAGTCTCTAAATAGTTATATAGTTATTTCTCTAAATTGAAAAAATGCAGCACATTTATATATATATATATATATATATATATATATATATATATATATATATATATATATATATATATATAAGTATAAATTTTTTAAAAAGTCTAAAATTGACACACCCTAATGCAGACGCTATAATATTTTAAAAGTGCCTTAACTATACCGAGTGTAGCCAAAAGTTTAAACCTGTTGGCAAACAAAAACAAATTTAAAAACATATTAAAATGCTTTTTTCTTTTAAAAACTAATTACAAAATAATTTTAAAGTAACAAATAAAAATTAAAATTTTATAGAAAAATATGCTGAAGAAAAAAAAAACAACATAAAAAATAAGTATTAAAAAGTTGTCGTTTTTTTAGAAAAGACAAAGAAATATATTAAGAAATATATAAAGGAATCAAAGCACTTTTACTTTATAAACATTTAAATTTATTTCTTAGAAGTTAATTTTATGTAAAGTTTATTTTTAACAATAAATTCAAATAATAAATTCTTTCCTAATATTTGCTTAAAACAGAACGAAGTCTTTTTTTTTCTCTAGACGATAAAAAAAACAAAAAAAACCGATTAGAAACAGATAATAATTATCTAAAAGAAATATTTATTTCACCAAAATGCTAAAAATAATTTAAACGTACCATTTAACTGGTCTTCTTTCGCAGTTGTACTAAGTGGGTTATTTGCATTAACTTGTGTGTAATCATCAACTGTAATAGCAGGTTTTGCAACTGAAATCTGATCTTCTTTAGAAATACACAAGCCTTTGTAAAAACAATAATTTAATAATTAATTTTTAAAAATTTTATTTAAAGATGGAACTTTACAGATAAATAACGTAAATGGTAATAACTTGGTTGGGGTAGTATTTGTTGATCTGTCAAAAGAGTTTGAAACAACCAGTAATTCCGTTCTGTTAGCTAAACTATCATTATATAGAAATAAAAGTTCTGAGCATAACTGGTTCACTGACTATCTTTTTAACAAACTGCTCAACAATATATAATCTGGTGTTGCGCCAGTAACGTACGAAGTGCCTAAAGGTTCAACGATTGGGCCCTCTTTTATATCTTATATGTGTTAATGAAGTGCAAAAGTAACTCAGATGGTAATAAATACACACATGACATTTTTTAAAAACTTAAATTTTTATAAACTCAAACTCAAGAAATGACCATTTGAAAACCCGCGACTCCGGACGGCCTCTAGCAACCTCCGAGGCCAACCCGACACTCCCCACGTCACTCCCTGGGCCACGGGAACCATCCACGCCAAACCTCGTCTCCAGGACCAACTGTCTGGCTGTCAACCGGGAACAATCAGAATTGACAAATATATATAAGATCAAAAAATAATATTTCTTTACCTGTTCTTTTTAGTAATATGTAAAGAGCAAATTGACTTCCTGAACTGACTTTCAGAATTGTAACTTTGTAAATGATGTGTTCACCTCAGTAACTTGGTAAAAACTGATTTATGTGTGATTTCTGGTGATCCATTTATATCCATCCATTTATGTGATTTCTGGTGATCCATATTATATCTATGGAAGGTTCTAGATGGAGCTAAAGAGCACCACGGAACATACTGGAAAGTTCTTGAATGTTCTGGAAGGTGATGGAACAGCCATATTGTCCATTATAAAACATTCCGCAAAATTCTGGATCATTCTGGAAAAATGTTGCATATTCCAGAAAATTCTGGAAAATGACGAAATAGGTAACAGCAATCCATGGAACACAACAGAAACCAACGAAAATCACATCATAGGAAATGCTCAACCCGTCCCCCAGACCATTCCGACATCCAGCAACCCCCTCCCCCAGAGGGCGAGGAACAACTCTGCACTTTACAAAGAACACTCAATCCGGCCCCTCTGACCCAGAAATGACCATTTGAAAGCTCCCGCCATAGCTTGACTTAAAACTAATGAGAAAAAATAAATGTCTCCATGCCTTTTTGAGTTTGGGTAAAAGAAGCACAGTATTTGGCAGAGATATAAAAGACGTCAATAAAGGACCATCACAAAGATAATAAAAAAAAAAGATTTCCAGTCAACCATAAGAGTAAGAAGTACGATGGTTCTGATGAGGAAAAGTATAAGATAAAAGTTTTAGTGAGATTATAGCTTAATCTGAACCTAAAGAAAAACAAAGAGAAACTGAGCACAAGCTAGGATCAAAGACAAGAGGGTAAAGACTTGACACAAATCATAGAGTGAAGGTATATGATTAAGGTTGTTAGAGAAACAAATCTCAAAGTTAACTATCTGAGAAAGAGATTAAAAAAGTCAAATATTTTGAGCTTTACAGCGAGCAGTGGTACTAGAGTCAAGCTATTCTATTACAGTTACCAATAGCAACAATATTAGCTGATGAATAATAAAAAAGAGCTTGATGAATTTGATTATAAAAAAAATCAAAAAGACTGCAGTCTCGGAAAGAAGGAAAACGATAGAGGACAGAAAGAGATTGAGAGAAAAGTTGCTGAATGAGATTAGCCGATTAGCTAAATTAGAGATGGGCCAATTCCAAAAAATACAGATTCTGATTCTCAATTGCAATTGGGATTCTTTACCAATTCTGATTCTTTTGTGATTCTTATTATTTTAATTTAACCGATTTAAATAGTGCATTTAAAATAACAATTTAATGCATTGTTAATTAAATACTTGCATAGACTTTCAAAGTAAAAACATTGAAATCAGTTATGTGCTAGTTTACTAATATTAAGAAATTTGGATTTCCTCCATTATTGTGCAATACGTAGTATGTATCTAAAATGTTAAAATAATATTTTAGATTTTTTATCTATCATTCACCTCCCTATGACCAAGGGGGCCAGTTCAGTCAAGGAAGCTACTCATTTTCTTTTTAAAATTATTTTGTGTTCTTAATTGTGGTTACAACCCTCTTTCAATTCATTAAATCCGAAACACAGGCCTTAAGAAACAAGGCTACTGCATGGAGAAACTAAGTCAAATATTTTGCAATATTTCAAGTACAATAATAATATAGAAGCGCATACAATACTTTCTACAGAATTTGTATTGATTAGTTGGTTATTAATGACCAGTCAGCACCTGGAGCAGGTGTGGTCGGCTCTTGATTTTCAGCAACTTCAAGTCCAATACATTCAACTTATCGATCAATAAAGTAATAGTTTTCTCAGCCATCATCCTGCTGCTAAAAAACTTGTTTTTAAAAATGGGATCTAGTATTGTTGCGAAAGCATATTTAGGCTCATTTTCGCAGTCTCTGTAATGACAATGCAAAGATTCACACAGAGATTTTTTGAAATCTCCATAGTCCTAGATGCGATCAATTGGCATATTAACTGCATTTATTATTGGGATAACTTCTTTATAATTGGGATAATTTCCTTGGGATAAATTGTGGGCACTTTATATGAGGTTGTAGTGTGCAAGACGTCTTCAAAAGCTTTTAAAGCAGCAACTAGAGGAACTAAACTGTCTAATTCTTTGGTTGACAATTCTTTGTTTTGTTGAAAAGCTTTTTGGAAAAGTGAACAGATCGCATCTTTTTGTTCAATTAAATGGTTCAGCATGTGGAAAGTGCTACTATATCTAAGTCCTTAAATCTCCTGAAATCGTCTCAAAAGTTTGTATGACTTAAACAAATGTTTAAAGTATCCTACTATTCTTCTACATGTAGCAGTTGGTAAAGAAATGCATTCATTGTTAAGGGCCAACGAAGTCGACTTTTTAAGACTCGAATTTAAATGAAAGACGCATTTAGATCATATGCGTATACTGAATTTAACTGAAAGATGAATTTAAGCTGTAAATGTAGCCCGAATTTAACTGAAAGATGAATTTAGACTTCTATACCGAATTTAACTGAAAGCGGAATTTGGATTTTAAAAACAAATTTAATTAAAAAAAATTTTTTAAAGAACTTGTATAAGTATTACAAAAAATTGTTTTTATAAACCTTATAAAAAGGTTTTTTGCTTCAAATGTTCCAGGAAGACCTAACGGTTTTGCTGCAGAGAACATCAGAAAAGTATTAAACTACGAAGTTCAAACTTTCTTTCTTACCGATGGTGAAAAATATGCCCAGAGCTTGCTCCGAACCCTCAGTCTCTTGCTTCTAAAGCAAGCGCTCTAACCACTCCGCCACGGTTGCTGCATAATCATTTTTTATAAACTTTAGTTATTTTTTAGCTTGTAATTAACCATAATTTAAAACATGACAGAGCAAGAGAAGCCAAGTAAATTTTAATTTATTTAAAAAATATATGCTTACAAAAAACAGTTTGCCTCAAAATAAAAAGTCTAAAAATTATGTAATAAGGACGGGCCAAGTCGACTTTTAAAGACTCGAATTTAAATGAAAGACAAATTTAGATCATATGTGTATACCGAATTTATCTGAAAGCCAAATTTCCATTTCAACTTCAGCACCGAAGTCGAAGTAAACTTCGTAATCCGAATATTAACAAATATTCGCCAGTTCTTATTCATTGTCCATTCATAGTTGTCTTTTACAACCAATTGAAGTGTATGGGTGAGACAAAGAACGTTTGAAAACTTCCCTTCTTCCGTAGCAGAGACAATAATTATGATATTATCTCTTACTACTACATTGAGTTTTTCAAGTAGTCCCAAATGCTCAAGTGATTCATTCATAAATTTAACAAGATTAGCAGTAGTGTGGGACTCCTAAGGAAAAGGTAGCACATCATAACAAATGTGAATTTGTTTCATATCTTCTGTGAGGAAATGTGCTGTTAGGCTCATGTAATCAACATTAGCTGTGGAGCTCCACAACCGGTAGTTTGCCAAGAAACAAATTTTATTTGTTTCTTGGCAAAGAAGGGAATTCCTAACATTTATCATTTATCTGATAAATGTTAGAAATTTCAATAATCAAAAAATATTTTCTGCTTGGTATCGTATACCTTGGCTCCAAAAACTATAGTAACATTTTGAAACCAGGATTTTCTACTATACTAACAAGTTGGTTATCTGTGCATATCATTTAAGCAATTAGCCTTGTAATTTTTATTGCCTTAGAATCTGTAGATGTGAAAGGCCCAGCCCTTACAAACACTTGGTGTATTGTTGGTTGTTTAGGAGATGTAGGCTTTATTTTTACAGAACTAAGTGTGGAAGAAGAGACAATACTAAGTCCTATAAGGAGCAAGTAGATTTATTAAATTTTGCAGATTCTTGTGAATTAGATTCCAGTGAATTTTGCAGACTTGTTTTGAAATAAATAATAGAAATTAAGAAAAAAATGGCGATGAATTTGTTCTATTCGAATAATTAAATACAAGGTAAAAAGTTCACCTTAGATCACTTCAAAGCTGAACAATTTTTAAGAAGCACTGTCTATAATATAACCAAACATGCTGGGTATGATTTTGGACACAAAAAAGTGCAAGGAAGTGGCAATGTGGCCAAAATTAGGAAATTAAGGTGATTGCACTTTAGAAGACCCTGTTAAACCACAGCAACTAGGATTCAATAACATAAGCTGGTTGATAATTCGGATGCAGTCTTCGACACAATCAAAACTCTTGCCAAGTACACTGACATCAAAGGTTGAGTCTAACTGCAGGTCAAATATTATCTACTGAAGCAATGTTTGAATACTGTAAAAAGTCAAATATTTGGATCTTGTCACTGCTTAAGAAACGGAACTAGTATAAAACAAAGTTAATAGACTTTTTATAGCTTTTTGTTACTGAGACAAGAAGTTTAATTTAATTCTTTTTTGATCATAAAGATGAAAAATCTGTTGTTGATGATAATTTGCTCTAACAATTGATTTCCACAATAAAATTGAACTTGTTCAAATCAACTGTTATGAAATTGCAATACTTATTGCAAATAATAAAGAAGTATTGCAACTTATATTGTTACGAAATTGTAATACAAATTTAAAAAAATACGGCAAAATTTACTAGGTTGGTATGAATTCTGAAATGGATAAAGAAAATGATAACTTTATATTTAAGTCCATACAAATACACTTTTCGATAAAATGACATCTAAATTGATCATACCATTGGCAAAACTGGGATGATAATTGCTAGGCGCATGAATGGATATTGTTTCTCTTGTGAAAACATCATCAAGCCAGTACCGAAACTCAAAAAATATTTAATATTTTTATAATTAATATTTGCATAATACTTGCTTCTTCTAATTATTTTTATTTTTCCTGTTCTTTTTTTTTTTAAATCAAAAAATGACAAAAGTTAAAATTAGGTTGTCTTCTAAACATTTAAAGATTTAGTATTCTCAAAAATGGTCAGGTACCAGTTTTTAGCCATGTTCCTCCACTAGAACTTAAAACATTTATAAAAGAAGTACTACATTTACATTTAAGTACAACAAAAAATTTAAGTACAACAAAAAATTAAATTTAAAAATTTATCTTTTTGTTCAAAATTGAATAAAACAACTATTTTATTAGTACTAACATTACTATAGTAACAAAAATTAATTTTTTATTAAGTAACTGTTGCTACTAGTAACTATTATTTAAAAATTGATTAACTTAATAAAAAAAACTTTTTAAATAAATAAATTAATTAGACTGAAATTAAACTTTGGTGTCAGCATATATAAAATAATTATGCAAGCAAGTTAATAAATAACAAATAGTTAAATATTAATTATTGACAATAAGTTTTGATGGATGATTTACTCAAAAAAAAAAGAAGCTTTTTAAGGCTTGACCACTAAAATAATTTAGTAAAAATTTTTGTTTTAAATGCTGAACACTGTTTTAAGATCTAATATTTATGAACAGAAATTGATTGAAATAATCTATCAGATATAAGAAAGCTGATTTTCTATAACTATGATTAAATATATGGTAACAATAAAATCAAAGCTTAGGGAAAAATCAAAAAATAATAAATTTAAAAAACATGTATGCACGATACTTAATGAAACTGACAAAAAGTAATTAAAACTATAGCTTATAGGTATATAGATTAAGTTTATAAAAAAAATGGTGATACAGTATTTTTTGATACTAACCATTATTGTCTGAGCAATCAACATTTTTCAATTTCAAATTAGCTTTTGTGCGGATGAAGCCTTTAATTTTTACATTTCCACGAGTGCAGTACCCTATTCAAGAAAAATATTTGAAACAAGTTTTTAATGCTTAGTAAAAAGTAAATATACAATTTTCCAATTTAATGTATATAAATATACAATTTTCCAATTTAATGTATATATATGTGTATATATATATATATATATATATATATATATATATATATATATATATATATATATATATATATATATATATATATATATATACACTTACTAAAGCGTGTTTTGATAAGCATTTGCTCGCTTTTTCTGCTTACTTTAAGCTATACCATTTTTTTCGAAAAAGAAGAAGAAAAAACGAAGAATGATGAATGAAACGATTGTTTCCATCCCAAACCCTCAGTCGATGTAGCAGCACTCCACTGCGAGTCAGGCTATTTCTCAGTCGATGTATGTACTGAAGCCCCCAGCAGAAGGCTATTTCAGTATGACGTATATATATATATATATATATATATATATATATATATATATATATATATATATATATATATATATATATATATTTATTTATTTATTTTATATATATAAAATAAAAAAGTTGAATTTGTTGCAAAAATAAATTGTCAACATGGCATCTATTTAAAAAAAAATGCAGGTAATTTTTACTTTTCATAAAAATATTAAAAAGAGATTTTAATCTAAATTGATACGGTTTTTTAGAAAAAGAAGAAGAAAAGGAAGAATAATAAATGAAAAGATTGCTGCCCTATCCCAAACTCTCAGTCGATGTAACAGCACTCCACTGTGAGTCAGGCTATTTGTCAGTATGACATCACACTGCTCAACTTAATCAGCTGTATAAGATATATATATATATATATATATATATATATATATATATATATATATTATATATATATATATATATATATATACATATATATATACATATATATATATATATATATATATATATATATATATATATATATATATATATATATATATATATATATATATATATATATATACATATCAGTAAACTCCAATTTATTTGAACTGACACTTATTCAAATTTCCCGCATATTCGAAGCAATCTCTCCCCCCTCCCCCTCTAATTCCACGTGAAATTTCCTTAACAAACTTAAAAGTTTTTCATTGATACCATTCCATTGCAGTTCAAAACGCAACATTATGGACCGTTATCAAAATATAACAAATGAAATAATGTTATCAAAATATAATAAAAAATTCAAACACATTGCAACACAGTGCTATAGAAATTTTAACAAGGCATCTAAACAAAAGAAGACAGTTCTGACAATCAAAGAAAAATATCTTGCTCTTAAAAATAAACTAAAAAAAATGTTGCCAAAAAATTTAGTGTTCCTCTAAACACTTTAACATACTGAATTAAGCATAAAGAAGACATAATCACCAAATATGAGTCTGGTCAATTAGAGGCAAAGAGACAGAAGTTTAGTTTGGGAAAGCATTATTTTGTTGACGCATAAACCCAAACAAAATGTACTGATTGGTGGACACATCATTAGGGAGAAAGCTTTAGATTTTGAAAAAGAACTCAATATTGCCGATTTTAAGGTTTGAAATAGGTGGCTTGATCAATGGAAAAATAGACAATATGTTGTTTTTTGAACTATTTTTGACAAGGAAAGGAAGTGTACAGAAGAAAAAACATCAAGTTGGGAACTGCCCACAATCCTCTCAAATTATAAATTGAGTTATATTTACAATGCTGACGAGTTTAGTTTATTTTATCAATAGCCACAACCTCTGACAAAAAACCTTTTATTTAAAGGGTAAAAAATGTGCAGAAGGAAAATTGAACTAAGTTCATTTAACAGGCTTAGCAGCAGGAAATAGTGTTAGTGAAGAACTGCTTATGCTTATAATTGGAAAGGCAGAAAAATCATGGTGTTTCAAAAGTGTCAAAAGCCTAGTACAAGAATCACAATAAATCCTGGTTAGACTTTAAAACATTTACTGATTATGTAAGAAGGCTTGATGCAAAATTTAATGCTGAGAGTGGAAAAGTTGCTCTTATCATAGATAACTGCCCAGTTCCTCCTAATATTGACAATCTCAAAGCAATTGAATTGGTATTTTTATCAAAACTCAAGCAATCGACCAATAAGTCATAAAGGCATTGAAGGTTTTTTTATTGCATGAATATTGTAAGGTGTCAGATTAAATAGATTGATGCTGGTAAAATAACATCTAATATTAACATTCTTGAAGCTATGAGCATGTTAGTCAAGTCATGGGATGCTATATCAACAAACACTGTAATGAATTGTTTTAGAAAGGCAGACATCTTACAAGAAATACAGATCGCAAGTATAAATGGTGAAAATGATCCTTTAATAATTGTTTGAAGAGAACACTAACGGGCTTAGATCATGTGGTTTAGTAAACTCATAAAGCCAAAATTATTAGAGATAATTTTGCAGGTGCAATAGAATTAAACGAATTTCGGTCACTTTTTGAAAATAATGGCATCAAAATCCAACAATTAATAAGTATTAAAGATATTTGATAAACAATCTCTAGAAACAAAAAAAAAACAATCCGAAACGGACAATTTTTTCAAAAAAAATTATTATTATTTTTTTTTAAATTTGATTTTTTAGAAGGTAGAGACTTCAACAGCTTATTCCAAAGTTTTTCTTCTTTTTTTACTTTTTACATACAGTGAGGTATCCAGAAGTATTTTAGGCATACCGGTCTAAAAATCCAGTCTACATTAGGAGAAATTTTTTTTTATTATTTTTTTAAATTTATAAATAAAAAACTTTACGTTTTAATTAAAGAGAATAATAATAAGAATGTAAATAATTAACCAAAATAATGTTACATTACAAAATGACTGCTTTTAACATCAACATCAATTAGTTGCAAATTTTAATTTACATGCTTTATTTGCTCACTAATATAAAGAGTTTTATTTCATAAGCAAGTGATAACTATAACATTTAATGAACAATATTTGTATGTTTCTTTTATATAGACTTATATAGATTTATTACATAGCGTATTTATTCCATAACAAGGTCAATTCTTTCAAAATTTTAATTCATTCAAAAATAAATAACTGTTTTTTCTTGTTCTACTCTTACTTTTCAAATCAAGATTTTAGTGCAATGTTATTATGTTTTAAAAACTTTTATTTGTTTTATTATTTAAAATATTTTAATGCAATTTTACTATTATTTGAAATAAAAAAGTTTAAAGCTCATATAGTTTAATCACTTTGAAAATTATATTATGAAAACGTAATCGGAGGAGAAACTCAAATTAGAATATTTTTCAAATGTTAATGTTTTTATTTTAAAATATTAAGCGTTTCATATTTTAATCCAATCAAAATGTGTGTTTTACATTTTAATCCGATTGTAACAAATTCCATAATTCATCAATGTAAATTCGAATAAAGCATTCTGATTGACTTGAAATACATTTATAATGTGTTTTAAAAGTCGTTTTTTAAATGTTGGTTTTTCTAAGTGACATTAATAACATAACAAATTTTATCATCATAATTATGATCATAATTATCATTTTATCACAGACAATAAGTAATAAAAAAATATTTTATTTTAATTTTTTAAGTGCTAAAATAAAATTGTTTTAAATTGAGTTTGGGCTACAATTTGGGGGCTCATACCGGTATATCGGTATCAAAAACGGCCTGGATACGTCTCTTTTATGGTCATATTTTTATTACAAAAATATGTATATATATATACATATATATATATATATACATATATATATATATATATATATATATATATATATATATATATTTATATATATATATATATATATATATATATATATATATATATATATATATATATATATAAATATATATATATGTATATATATATATATATATATATATATATATATATATATATATATATATATATATATATATTTACATAATATATATATATATATATATATATATATATATATATATATATATATATATATATATATATTAGGCTGGCGCAGATGTATTTTTAATACATTGTTTCCAGTTTAGGATGTTAAACGCTGGATCTTCTTGACTCGATTCATGGGTTTTACTTGTGTCTCTGTTTTTATGACTAGGCAACTCATTCTATTATCTCCAAATGAGAGTACAGCTCTAAAACTCAGTTTTATGGTTCTGAGGCCAGCTGGTAGTCAGGTTTCCCGAACTCTGTGGTAGCTCTCAGAGAGGCTGATTCCATCAACAGCTGAAAAATATCAGAGTACTAACAGTGCCATGTTGCGCATGGATGGTGTCCCTGTTTGTATTTTTGGTGTGCATTGCCAAGGCCACATTGGAGCCCTTTGTTACGGCTTAGGATTTATTATTGGAAATGAGGCAATTGCTTGAGCTATAGAACAGTGTACTGAGTACTATCTATGTTTTGAGTCAAGTTCTTTAACAAATTTAAAAATGAACAAAGTAACAAAAACTATAAAACACAAAAAACCACAGTCATCACCAAGTTCACTAAACCTATCATTCACCAATATTTGTGGACTTCGAAGTAACTTTTCTTCTGTTGAGCCTTATCTCTTGTAAAGTTCACCAGACCTGCTTGCTCTTTAAGAGACTAATTTGAGTTCAGCTGTCTCATCTTGTGATCTTAGTGTTGATGGTTATCTTCGTTTAATTCGTAAAGACTCCAATAGTCACATGCTTGGCCTGGGCATTTACATTCGTAAGAATTCACCCATTTGTCGGGAAACTAGGTTTGAATCCACAGACTACTCTTTTATGTGCTTTTGTTTAGCACCACTTTACTCTATCACCTTTCTCTTTGTTCTATATCGCTCTCCCTCATCCCAAGACTGCACTTTTCTTGATGTTATTTCTGATTATATTGACCAAGCCCTCATTCTTTATCCATCAGCCAATATTGTTGTTGTCGGTGACTTTAATGTTCATCACACTGAATGGCTTGGCTCTAGTGTCAGTGACTCTGCAGGCATTAAGGCCCACAACTTTTGTCTTTCTCAATCCCTAACTCAAATAGTCAACTTTC